TGTTTCTCGTCGCTTGCTGAATGCTATCATGTTTGAATTTTAATGTGCCAGAGTAGGACATTTTAGCCATTCATGCCTCTAACTTGAAAAGCTGAGGCAGGAGAATTACCCATTAGTTCAAGGCCAACCTAGTCTATGCAGCAAGCCTCCATCAATCACTCAATAAATGTTAAGCCTGGTGGTAACACACACCTGTAGTCCAAGAATTTAACTTGAAGGTCGAAAAAGGAGGATCATGAGTTCAAGGATCGATAGGGCCAAATAATGAGTTCAAGGCCATCAGGGTCCACCTATCAAGACCCTATCCCACAAACAAACAAATAAATGAATGAATAAAATAACAGGATGTTGTATGCTCTTTGCCATCAAGAAATACCAAGGTTAGTTGGAGGGAGACCATGCCAACCTAAGTCAACTTGACTTGTATAAGGCACCCATCATGATTTAATTAGCTGCAATAAGTACTACTTTGCAGGCAGACTTTTCTTTCCCACAGCCACCAGTTCCAGGTAACCAGACAGAGGCTTATAGTGATTAAAAATGATTGGCCAATAGCTCAGGCTTATTACTAACTAGCTCTTACAACTTAAATGAACCCATTTCCATTAATCTATGTATTGCCATGTGGTTCATGGCTTTACGTGTCCTCCAGCATGTCTTGCTCCCTGTGTGTCTCCTGGAGACTCCTCTGACTCCACCCTTCTTCCTCCCAGCATTCTCAGTTTGGCTGTCCCACCTATACTTCCTGCCTGGCTACTGGCCAGTCAGTTCTTTATTTAACCAATGAGAGTAATATATATTCACAGTGTACAGAAGGATTATTCCACAGCACTACTTAGATCTTAAAGCTGGGAAGAGAAGCAAGTCCTGGTTCTGTTAATCAAGGTAACTCAGAGGAAGAAAGAGTTAAACTAGATCTGGGTCTGGCATGGTGGTATACTCCTATAATCCTAGCACTAGGGAGTCAGAGACAGGAAAACCCCATCTCAAAAAACAAACCAAAAATAAGTACATAAATAAATAAATGTAAATCTTAGCTAGTACTGGAATGGTGGACTGGTTAAGCAAGTGGTGTGGAAAACATGCTGGAGAAGGTGCATTTGCTGTCCATCCAGTTATCTCTGTTCTGTTGAGACACGGAGGCAGCTTGCCTCAGCAGAATGAGGAGCTGGTGTGTCCACGAGGGAACGTAGACAGCACTAGCAGTAATTTTTCTCTGGGTGTGGTGGGCCGTGGCTAGAATCCCAGCATTTGAGAGGCAGCAGCAACCTGAACTACATAGCAGCTTTTAGGGCAGCCTAGGCTATGTAGCAATAGCCTATCTCAAAAAACCAATCCTGGGATATAGCCTAGCAAGCAAAAGGCTGTGGGTTCAATCCCCAGCCCTGCAAGATGATTAATAATAATTCTTGAATTAAAAGCTGGCAGAGGAGCTGTAATTTAAGGTGAATAAAAATTAGGAGCCTTAGAAGGTATTTTGGGTATTGAACAGAAGGTACAAAAGTGATACTTCAAAGAGAAAACAGATCAAGGTCATTGGAGCAGAGAAGAGAGTGTTCTATAAAGCAAAAGTATGGTGAGGAAGGTCCAGTAGAGGACCAGAGGAGGAAGAAGGTGGGCTAGTATGACATCTGCCATAGAGGGAGAGGAGACAGACTGGAGCAGAGGCTCAGGCTGGCGCTGTAGTTCAGTGGAGTGGCCAAGCACTACCCAACATGCAGGAGACCCTGGTTCCATCCTTAGCAGCCACCTCCAAAAAAAGAGACCCTGAAGGAGATCAGCTAGATAACCTCAGGGATTGACATGCAAGTATCCACAGGAGACTGCCTGTGCCTGGAATGGGGTGGCGCGCCTGGGGGTTGTGTGGGGGAGTTTGAAAGAAGGTTTTGGTTGGTTGATGGACTTAGGGGTGGGGAGGGAAGAGATGGTGAGCTAGGTTTTCATGTTGATCCCCTCTTATTCCCAGGGTGGTAAAACATCATGGGAACTTTTTTGTCTGTTAGATTTTCTGTGCTTCTGTGCCTGTGTGAGTGTGTGTGTGTTTGTGTGTGTGTCTGGTGTGTGTGTGTGTGTGTGTGTGTGGCGTGGTCTATTGTTGTATATGTACTCATGCTCATACACATGCCAATGCATGTACCCGCATCTGTGCTCATATGTGGAGGCTAGAGTCTGGCATGAGAGGGCTTCCTTCGTCACTCTTCACTGTATCTTTTGAGACAGGGTCTCTCTGAACCTGAGTCTGTTGACTCGGCTAGACCGGCTGGCTCCGGGGATTGGCCTGTGTGCCTCACTAGCTCTGGGATTACAGGTGCATCGCCACACCTGACTACTTAGTGGCTGGAGAAGATGACTTAGGGCCTTATGCTCTCCTATTTAGCCATTTCCTCAGCCCTGCTGTCAGTTTCCTTGATGGTATAATACATACGATTTGTTTGGATTAGGTATTCATTCAACTTTTTTGGTTGGAGGAAGAGGGTGGTTCTGTGAATCCAGCCTAGTACCTGGAATGCAGGCTAGGTTACTAAGTGTTCTATCACTGAGATATACTCCTTCATTAGCTCTTCCCTCCCTCCCTCCCTCCCTCCCTCCCTCCTTATTCTGAGCCTGGGTCTCACTGTAGACCAGGCAGGCCTTCCTCTGCCTTACATGTGCTCCCCCACACACACCCATTCATCAGGTTTTTATTAAGCTATCTTTACTTTCTGGTGGGAACAGCAGTGAGTAGACTTGGTCCCAGTCCTCACGGAAGGTAAATACTGAACAAGAAATAGTAAGGGCTTCTTTCTGTGCCCTGGATCTCTCCGTGGCATTTCTGTCTCCCAGAGCTGTCCTTTTCCCTACCACTGAATCTGGAAGGACCATGTGCCAACTGGCAAGGGCATTTATCAAACACTTTATCACTGATTATGTCTTTAAGTTTTTGCTTTGAGAAGTGGCTTTAAACTCAGGCTGGCTTTAAACTCACAGTGTTTTAGCATCAATTTTCCAGCATGTGCTACCATACCTGGCGCTTGATTGTATCATTTAATTAAAAGAGTAACCTCACAGTACATGGTATACTTGTATGAAAATGTCTTTATGAAACCATCAGTATATATTGAATATATGCCAATAAAAAAATAACCAGAGTGGGGTGGGGTGGAGCGATGATTCAGAAGTTAACAGCACTGGCTGTTCTAATTGAGGACATGGGTTTGGTTCCAGCCGCCACATGGCAGCACACAATGGTCTGTAACTCCAGTTCCAGGGGATTCAACACCTTCTGGCTCTGAGGGCACCAGGCATATGTGTGGTGTGCAGACATACATGCAAGCAAAACATTTATACATATAAAATTCATATATATGTGTGTGTGTGTGTATATATATATATATACACACACATATATACACACACACATATACACATGCTAGGGAAGTAGCTCAGTGGTTAAAGCATTTGAGGTGACAGGTGTGAGAAGCGGTGTCCTCAATGCAATGTGGCTGTGATGGCCTGCCTGTAATTCCAGCTCCTAAAAGGCGAAGACAGCGTCTCCAGAGCAAACTGGCTAGCCAGACAAGCTGTATCAGAGAGCTCTGGGTTCAATTGAGGCACCTTCCTCAATAAATAAGGTGGGCTGCTATTGCGGAAGACTGGGCTGTAGGCAAGCCTGTAGAGAATTTCGTAATTAGTGATTGATGGGGGATGGTCTAGCCCATTATGGGTGGCACCACCCCGTGGTGGTGGCCCTGGGTTCTATAAGAAAGTAAGCAGAGCAAGTCCTGAGGAGCAAGCCAGTCAACTGCAGGCCTCCCGTGGCCTCAGCATCAGCTCCTGCCTCCTCCAGGTTCCTGCCCTGCTTGAGTTCCTGTCTTCAAGGCTTTCAATGACGAACTGTTAGATGGAAGTGTGAGTGAAATAAACCCTTTTCTCCCCACATTGCTTCTGGTCACGG